GTGGGCAAAAGCAAATTTGAAGCAAAAATGCATTGTAGTTTGAATGCTTGAATATTCTGATATTTATATTTAGTTTCCCCCCTCAGTTAATTGCATTTGGAATGGTGTCAATGCCAAAGAGATGATTACTGTGTACGCATTCCATTTAAAGGGCTTTGTTATTTTTATGCCAGTCACTCTTTACACGGAGAAGTAATCTATTCCGATCTTTTAGGCCTTCCAGATCTGGCTTTCTAAGCCTTAGCCCAAGCTAACAAAACAATTCTTGTTTCCTGCTAAGCAAACAGAAACTCGAGATCGCTTAGGACTGCGAGGCAAATACACTTTGCCGCAGTTACGCTGATCGATTTTAGTTTCCAGATCAGTCAACACAGAAGCTGCCACATTTGAGATTTCTCCACGTACCGTTTACATGATCCCCAAGAGCCTTTCGCCACATCCAATTTACACTTTCCTCCAAATCCTGCCCGCCAGCTGATTTCAAGTTCACAATCGACAGACGGACGGCAAACAATGGAAAATTTATGCAAAAATGATTATGCTGTTGCAGGGGGTTAGGTGGGGGAAAATTGCTAGCAATCAGCGGGGCATAAATCAAAAATTTAGTTTTCATGAAGCCATCTGGCCTCTCCCTCCCTCTCTGTGGCCATCTCTCTCTGCCGCAATGCAGCTGAACATGAACATGAAAATGAAAAAATGAAAAAGGGGGCAAAGAAAAAGTGGAAAATCATGGCTTACCGACGAGCAACAACAACTTTCACCCGGCCAAAGAGAGCGAGATGGGTCAGAAAGAAAGTGAGACAACAAGTTTATTGCTTTTATAGAAGCTCGAAGTGAAGAAGAAAGTTAAGAAGCAGAATTCCCATTTGTATCTGTATCTGCACATATAGTTGCAATTGTAACTGTGTTTGTATCCGAGTTAGTGTTGTGTTAGTGCGCGGCTGAAACTCGTTTGGGGAGTAGAAGAAAGTTGCCGCTTTAAGAATGCTGCACTAATTGGTCGGCGGCGAGAGAGAGACGGCCTGAGACCAGGGCTGGCCAGTGTGTTAGTTGGTCGGCTCTCAAACCTCAGGTCGCTGGAGATACACGTATCTCATACCAAACTCTCTCTCTCTCTTTGCCCCAAGGCGATCTATCCCTTTGCCTCTTTCTCTTGGCCATTGCCTAATGTCAGGTATTCTTGGAATATTTTTCAGTTTGTACATCCCTCTATTTGCCTGCACTCTCTCTCTCTCTCAGTCTCTCTTTTCACTTTTTCTTTCTCAGCGTCTAATTAAGAATAGAAACAGATACTCGCACTCGCTCAGCATGTGAGTATTTTTTATACACAAATATTTCACAATTCGTTTTTTCGCTTTTTATTTTGGACAACATTTGTGCATACACACTACTGACATACTTAGGCCTTCTCTATAATAATTATTTATAATATTTCCGGGCGAACAGTAGTGCAAGAGCAGGATTTCTCTGCGTCAAAATCAAATAAAAATCTAAAATTAAGTGGACAAGCCATTATTGAAATAGAAGACCACTGTCCCTATCAATTATAAATTTAATTAAACCTAAAAACTATATACATATATTTGTTTTTATCCATCCCTCCATATTCAACTCTGTTCCTTTCTCGCTCCTCCGCAGCTGCGATGGATCGCAGCTCTTTTCAATCAAATTTGAAATTGTGGTCACCAATCGCCCGGGAAGATGTGCTTATATACATATGTGCTTTTCAAACACTTCTAGTTGCGCTGGCTAGCTTTTAGTCACAGCTGCAGGCCGGTTGTGTCATTAACCTATAAAAAAGTGTTCGCCTAGAATGGCAGTGCGAGCAAGAGAGAGTGAGGGGCAGTTCTGGAGTGGGGGAGATAACTAATGGTAGTCTCTTTCTCTGTTCAATTTCAAATCAATGCCAAGTCTACGAAAAAAGCCATCTAGAATGCAGCACACAAATATATCTGGATGCAAATATGAAGTCATGACGTCACGATCGACTCTGACTAACTGACTGAACAAAAATGTTTTTACGAACGAGAAAGATTAAGCTTGCATAATTCACCAAGTATCTAGGGTTCTAACTGTCACTATCTCAAAATCAAGTTTGTCCCTGGAAGTGGCTTGTATATAGTACCTTTGATCTGAACAGACATAACAGCTATGTATATTTAGTAATGTTGATCTGAAAAGAGCTCAAGAAAGAAAAGTTATGGAACTTAAGTCCATCACAGCGATGTTTTGGAGCAGCGCTTGATTGAAGCTTCGGATGACTTCTGAGTTATCAGAATGCCTGAATGACGATTTCGCGAATATATTAATAAACACGACTAAAATTCAAAGTCAAGCGACTGTCAGAGGGACTTATCAATGTCAAGCGACATTCTCGGACTGCAACTACAAACGAACAAAACAAACAGCTAGTCGCAGCCACAACGAACATATCGTTCACAACAACTGTGGACACAATGAGTCCGAGGGGACCAAGGGGTGTAGCGGTTGGATTGCAATTGAACTAGAGAGAGTGGCGAAGAGAGAGAGAAAATGGCGACGAGAGAGGCACTCGTTAGTTGGGGACTCGGGTTCTTGGCCTCCGCCTCGGTGCTCCACGAAGTGCTTCGCGTCCGCCTGATCGCGATTGTCGATTGCTGACAGCAGCAGCAACAACAGCAACAACACTGTAAAATGGCGGCACAAAATCATTGACCTCAATTTTTTCGTCATGCGAACACCACATATACACACGTACGAGTATCCACACGGGTACTTGCGGGTAATTGCATCGGTGTGCGCGAGTGCAAGTTGAAAAAATAAAAATAAAAATAAAAAAGCTACAGAAAATATAAATACGAAAAACTTGTCAACTGGCGTTATCGTTCCCAAGTACGTGTATTTTATTTAAATTTTTTTTCTGTTTGCAATTGTTTAACTGCTTTTCAACTTCACTTGCGGCCGCCCTTGAGCATAGGGACTCGCTTAGAGCCAATTATGTCATAGAAATGTCCGAGCTCCGGAGTCACCCCAGGAGCTTTGACAAAAGAAATGCAAATCAGCTGGCTCGAATGGAAGCCCAATGAACTGAAATGAAATGAGGTGAGACACGCACACGAGTTGTGGCTGCTGCTGTTGCAACAATGCCTGTTTTTCAAGGGGTAAGGTTATGTACTTGAGCTTTTGCTCCGGCAAGGCACGTTCGGCAGAGCGGGACAGCTGGCCGGGAGTCCATGTCCTTGCGGTTTGTTTTTCTTTTCTCAGGCCTCGTGTCTGGCCTAGTTGCAGTTGCATTTGTGACCCAGTTGTTAATTTTGGGCGAATGAAAGAACTCAGAAACAACTGCAAGAAAAGCAAGTTTGAACTAAGGTTCCTTGGAAGAGATTCTTCCTCAAAAAGTTGCATTTTTTTTATGTTCCTTCAAATATTCAAACCTAAACTAAGTTCTCCGATTTAAGCATGAAGTATAAATAAGCAGCTTTTTTATATTTCACTCACAAGATATAAACAGCTTAACGCGTGTAAGGAGGCTCCACTTTAGATAACAAATTCAATTCTACTTTGAAATGTGAAAATCATCAGCAATAAGAAAACATCACTTAAGGGTATTTGCCATAATTGAGATATGGGGCAGTCTCTTATCTCTCTTGCATAGTAATTGTTTCAACAACAATATTTTTAAAACCTTACCCGCGATATTAGCATTGCAGGAATGCAAATTTAAGCAAGGTATTGGGTCTAAAAATATATTGATGTTGCTATTTCTAAAAGCTAATAAATCCCAATTAACTGGCAATAAGAATTTGTGTCTGTACTGCTCAAACTCAGTCTTTTTTATTTCACAAAGTCTTTCAGTGTAGCCCCAGACTAGCCTTGACCTGCCCCACTCGAGGGGAGGCACTATGCAGCACAAACCCATGGCCCAGACGCCAACGAAGACGGATCGATTGCAGATACTGGCCTTGAACTCCCGCCCACGTCCTCAGGCGATTTGGGTCAAATGCAAATGCTGTCCTGGTGTTGCTGCCGCTGCTTATGCACCTGACCTGACCTGACCTGGTTTCTCAATTTGGAACGAGGTCAGTGCCATAACAGCGAGCAGTGGCGAGTACGAATCCCCGAGGTGACGTCACCACAGCCCTGCTCAACTGTGCAGTTTCAGTTGCAACGCAAGCAGGAAACGAGCCGTCGAAGACTCGAGGAGCCGAAGAACACAACAAGTAAAGGAAACAGCATTCCTCCAGTTTTCCCTTTACCGGCTGCTCGCTGCGGGGAGACCCTAAATATAGAACGACTTGAGGTAGGTTCGAGCTGGAAAACGAGCGTTGCATCAACGGCATCGGAAGGGCAACCAAAGCCGCCCTTATGACTGCACATGGCTCGGTGCAGCCTCTACATGATGCGCACTCTTCCATGACGCTGCTGATAGTGGCGGACAACAATGCTGGCTGCTTGTGTGCGTGCTGATTGCACTCCCAAGCGGAGGAGCTGTAGAGATCCAGGGGAACCTTACAAAATACCATAAAAAGTGCTTCATAAAAGACGCTCGCACAATAAAATATAATTAGTAAGCCGTGAACTTCAGATACTGCCTGGCTGAATTACACCAAAAAGGGCGAATCTTTACCGCAATATTGGGGAACTCAAAATGTTGAATTCTCAACATTGTAGAATGGTTTTCCGCTGTTTTCTGATTACAACTTCCTCAAATTTCTGCAACGCTTTTATCCCAGAAACTGTATTTCGATTTGTCGATTGAATTATTTGAAGGTATAATTTTAATTGGAAACTTTATAATATAGCAGCTACAGGAACAGGCAAATTCAAAATACATTATATAAGGAGAAAAACCAACTTAAAAACGAAAAAATTTTAAGTTTTTCTAACTTTTACAAACTGATTTTAGGCAGCCCTTTAGAGGTAGGATAGCAGTAAAGACTGAGTTTCTTTAGGAGTTTTGCTTAAAATAGAATTCGGTAATCTCTTCAGTACAATGTACTCCTTATGGCCAAAGATCTTACCTGATGAAATGGAATTCGCTGAATCACTTCGCGGCGTATGCTGCATTCCCAGGCCTCCCACTCCGCCGGCTCCTACAACACCTCCACCTCCGCCGGCTCCTACAACACTGATAAGGCTATTGGAGTTGCCATTCGTTTGGTGGAGAAGGCCCATTCCCCCTATACCGCACCCACCACCACTCATGTTCTGCTGCAGGTGGAGTGGGGTGGTGGGCGTTGATGGGGTTGTGGAGTTTATGAGTCCGTGGCCATTCTGCATTTGCTGCTGAATCCCGTTGAGCCCACCATTGAGCATCCCATGGCCGTTGGCCAGCGCTCCCAGATTGGTTGCACCCGGCACATAATGACCATTGGAGGAACCTCCATTTCCGTTAATCGGGATGATGGTCGTCTGGGCGGGCAGGGTGCTGGAGCAGCCGTGCATGGCCAGCGTGATGACGCTTTGCTGCTGCTGTTGACTCAGGCCGTTGCCGTTGGAATTGCCGTACGGACCAGTCTCGTTTCCGCAGAGCCAGAGCTCCTGGTCGCAGTAGTCATGCGAGTCCAACGACGAGGGCGACATGTTTACCCCCGAAGGCAAAACAAGCCCGTTCGAGGATGAGGTGACCTCCGAGGAGGACTCCTCCGGCAGGCGCATGAAGCCGCCGTTGTTCGACCAGCGCCGCTTCATTCTCTGGTAGCCAATGGTCGCCGTTTTGGGGCCGTTTCTCAAATCACTCCGCGTCGGCTGGGACAAGGGGCTTGTCCCTGGCAGTTGCTCGATATGCGGAGAAATGCGTTCTCCTGGTAAGATCCTCTGTTGCTGTGCGAAGCTCGGATATGGTCTCCGAGGTTCTGGTCACTTCTGTCGGTGTTTTGTGGAGTTTGCTGGCTGATCTAGTATTTTTTGCGTACTTGCTTGCGTTCAAAATACATTTTCGCCCGAATTCCTGCTCATTGGGTTCGCGTAACAATCAGTCCTGCAATAGAGAGCGGGTACAAAATCGAAAGAGACCGACAGAAACTCGTTCTCCACTCGAATCAAGAGGTTCCTTCAACATTTTGTGGTCACACTGGAAAATGAGACGGTTCAACGTACCTGAGCGGGGGCAAACTCATGAAATTTTCATTTCATTTAATTGCAAATTTTCGCTCTACCTTGAACACGGCGTCCGGCTAAACCCAAGCCGGGAGAGAAGTGAGCTAAGCCAGCCGAAAGGAATACGTAATTCTTGAATAGATCAACCCGGGCCGGGCAGACACATGTTGCGTATCTTGCGGGGAAATCTCCAGCTCGTTTAGCGGGAATTCATCTGCAGAAATTGCAAACATTTGATAGGCCATCTCCAGCTGAATTTATAGTCATATGTATATGAGTTGGAACGACAGCAGAATAGATTACTTCAGTTTCTGTGACAATTAATCTTTTTTTTTTCTCCAGGCTGCGATTTGTGGTCTTTGCGAATCTTGGACATATAATTGTCGCCAAAATTTATGGTCTATCTGTATCGTGTTCTCGGATTTCTACTGAACTAAAACTGACATGTGTATTTTCGCCAAGGCGTATCTATCATTTTGAATAGAGCTTGTTTACACTTCCTAACCAATCAATTTGGTTTCCCTATTTGAACGCATTCTTCGTGTGTGTAACTCTGTTTGAACACTTGTCGCACTTATCTAAATGCTTTATCTAGCGTTTCTGTTCCCCAATCCTCAATGTCCAACGGTTGTTTGTTGCCCTAACAAAGTAGGCAATGCAAACAGATACAGTCGGCAAGGAAGTCAACGGAATCTAGGAACTTGAGGAAGTTGTCTGCCCTTCAATGCGCTTCTCATAATGTTTACTACGAAACTCATTACTTCTAAAATTCATTCAGTGGCTGAATTTCCCTTTTTAAAACATTTTGAACCTTTTGTTCAAGTAGTATTAGTTAAATGTTTTTCAAACCAAACATGCCAGGAAATCAATACGGGGATGAGACAATTTATGTTTCAATCGTATACATTTGAGTAAAATCCATCAATTGCAACTTAAAGATTCCCAATTGACATTGTTAAATTTATTGGCCGAACAATCTCTTCATTTCTTTTGCCACTCTCGCCTCGTTTCGAAGGCGGGTAATTGCTGGCACTTAATTAGAGAAAGTCAATCGATAATCGAGACAATTGGCATAAATATTTAATGCAACCGACCCCGTGCTAACGCTATCAATTGTCAGCCTACTAGTCACGGCCAGGTCAGTGGAAGATGAGGCGATTTGGAATCTTGACCACGATAATCTTTCGTATTTCGATTGCTTTTGGAATGCATGCCGAGCAGCGCGTTTGACTCATTCTGCGAGTTACAGGTGAATCATATTTTGGGTACTGGATATCGACAGCTCCAAGCTGAATCTCCCCCATCCCGAGCGCCCTTATTTTATGGGCTTACTACCATTAAAAGACCTGCAGAGCAGTAACGAGAGGGAAAGAGCCAAACGACAATAAAGCAAAAGTCTGTAACTTTTTGTCTCTTTGTGTTCAAAAGCACCAAAAACTGGTTTTTTGCTTGCTCTTTCTACTTCCCCAAGAAAGAGCAAGACGGGGCAAAAGTTTAGAACAAAATCGAAAAGAATCAGAAGGCAGAGGAAAAAGAAAAAGAAAAGGGAAGACTAGTCTAAGCTTGCGTTAGGGTGGGGATGAGAGAGGGTTTGAGCACTGAGTCGAGATTTTGGCCCGCATTAAGGAAAAAACCTGTCGCCCTCGCTGCCAGCGTCGCTGCCGACGATCAGAGCAGCAACACAAAAACAATACAAACAGGTTGTTCTTTGGCGTTTTTGCTTTGTTGTCTACAAAAATATTTCTGAAAACATCTGAAGCAGCGAGCGGAGCGCGTATTTATCGCATCGGGATTATACTACTCGCGATGTATATCCATACATAGGTATGTACATATATATATATATATATGTATACGTATATATATAAACGGGCGTATAAATCGTTTATAATAGACGAGATGCGCTGCGATATATATGTAAGCGAAGCGACATTTATGCCATTTTCGTTGTCTTGTTGGTTGTTGTTCATGTTCCCTGTTGCGTTGCCTCTTTAAATTGCTCGTTTTATTTTTAATGCGGTTTTCCCTGCTTTTGTTAAAAAAACGTTGGAAAGCTAAGCGCGCAGACTCAGTAGAACTGTCTTTTCCACAACTCCCTCTCTACTTCTTCTACTTTTAATTGGTAGAAATATGAACAAAACAAAACGGAAAAATTTTTCTGCCAGATGAAAAATTTGTTACGCCTCGAGCGGAGAGAGGAGAGGGTAGCACGGACTGATATTTATAGAATCGTATAATACATAATAGGAGTTTCAGCAGTCAACAGGTTGGAGGTTCAAGAACAAACTTCCCTTAGATTAAAGTACATATATGCCATGGGAGTTTTTGTCTCAGATCAAGGTCTGATAATATCTGGAATAATCGACTTGAAAATCCGAAATTGAATCTACGTCAGTCTAACGTGACCTTACTCAAGAAACACTATATTTCATAACAGAAGTTTCATGAGAGTCGGAACTAAAATATCTTAAGTATATTTCTAAAAGGTCTCTATAACTATTGATTGACCCCTCAAACCATTTGACTCCAAAAAGCTGGCTGACCCCTGATTATACCAGGTATAGCCCGCTGGAACGTTTCCACTATGAAAGTATGTCAATGACTGGCACGCGACGACCGACTGTCAGGAGGCCCCGCAACTTCTCGGTCCCTCGCTCACGTCTACGTCCACCCTATCCACCAACTGGCCCAAAACAACGTTACCAATTGCAATAAGCTTTATTAACAGAGCGACAGCGCCAGCAATTGTTGTACACGCTACCAAAATCGATGGGTGATGGACATTTAAGCCCCACTCTGGCTGGGCGAAAACAATTAAACATCCGCGCCGGCTTGTCCAGGAGGTATAATAGGCCCACAAACACAAATCCCCATCAGGGCCCATACACACACATACACGGAAAGAAGTACGCATGCTCCTGCCAGCGGATCCTTTTAATTTCCTGCTGTTATTTTCCTGCACGTAGGGCCAAGCGCCGCGTGATTTCCATTTGCCGAGGATTCAGATGGAAAAAGGGAGGGGAAACATGTAGACGGAGGGGAAAAGCATATGCGATACATTCCTATAAACTCCTTCCGAGACAGAAAAGAAAACCAAATGATAATGGGCCTGAGGCCAACCGAAAGACTTTAACTAATGTTCTGTTGAAGAAAAATAGGAAAGCTGAACAGATTATCAAACGAGAGCGGGAATCTAGGATGTTGGTCATAATTAAGGTTAAATTACGCTTTTAGGCATAATATTAACGTTTTTCTTAAAAGAAATTAAATTTTTTTATATTATTATTATTATTTTGAGCCTTATGGGCGTATGAGTGGGTGTGGCCGGATAATAATACCACCGAATTTCAACTTTCTAGCTCTAATAGTTCCTGAGATTTCAGCGATGATGAGATGTGTCACAGGCAAACCGCTGAAAACGTAACGGTTGTTTGTTTTCAGTTCTATACCCATCTCTCTCCCACTATCAATGGTAACCAGCCACCAAAACCCGAGAACAGGTTGAGTTTTACTTTCCGCGAATTCAGATGGCTGTGTTTTACGCTTGACTTTTTTTTGTTGGTGATTTTCTTCGGCGTTTGCTGATTCGGTTAAACTTAAAAAATGGTGCCATTCAATTGACACACATACAGTATTTGGCTTAAAACAATATGTACAACCGTAAAATATCAATGTTATTACTTGCCCTTAATGCTAAATCAAGATAAGTTTTGAGCATTGTAAGAATGTGAAACTTCCATTAGAAGACCATTTCCCGATTTCTATAAGTCGGCTATAACATGGAACCTACATTTTCCATAAAAGCAGCATAAACTTTTCCTATTAGTATTCAGTATTCCTTCAGCTGCGCTGATTCCCAGGCAGATCTGCTGAACATGTCGGATATCTCAGAGTTCTCTTAGATTAATTGGGACGTTGTATTCAATTCTATAGACAAAAGTCTTTGCACACAAATTCAATTAGCAATAAAAGCATAGAGCGATAGAAACTTTTTAATGTTATGGCCAGAACAAGATTTATGTCATTTGGCAATGGCCCGTTTTCGGCCTTTTCAGAGCACTTCAGCTGCAAATAAATATGTGCCAGAGCACGCTTTTCAATTAAGAGCCTAACAAATGATTAAATAAACGAGTGCAAAAGAACTTTGGGTATTTAAAAACTCATAACAGCTTAACATTTGAACAGCCTTGAGGCATCAAACAGATATCAATAAATACGAGTATGAGAATGATCAAGAGGAGGAAAGAGGAAAAACCCCAAGCGAAGCGTCACAGTTGCCCCAAAGTTTAGGACAACTGGTTGAGGTTGATTGGCCCGGCTCGAAAAAAAATGCGCTTCAATCATTTCCTTTTCCGGTTAAGCGGCGTCTCTTTTGGCATTCTGTACCGTCTAAGATTTGCATTTATAATCGATAATGCCATTTGCATATGTGGATCTGACTGATTGCCTGACCTTTCGGCGGCGATGAAGACACTGCGAAGCCACATTCAGAATGACAAGGCAGTGTGACGAACAAATGTCTAGAGATAAGATAAGCTACAATGTAAACTGAACTGTTCTTACGAAAACAAATGTATTTGGGCAACGGCATTTGCAAACAAAATGTGGCCGAGAGAAAGGGAAGGGTATTTGTTGACGTTTTTTGGCATTAGTCATTAGTTTCTTTAGTTATTTGGAAAAAAGTCAATGTCGAGGTCATTACCATAAAAGTTTAATGACGACTCATACATCTTGCCCATCAAAAGAAGTGAGCAGAGCCGAGCCAAAGTTTTTCGAGTCTTAGACTTGGCTATGTATTACAACTATCGCTTCGCGTTGCTCGGCTAATCAACAACAACAATGGAATTGTAGCATCTACTAGGAAAATTGTGGAAAGTCATGGAAAATCTTCGTCATCGTCATCGGCAATTGTCTGCGAAAGTGTTGAAAGCTTGACTTTGTTGTTGGCCTGTGAAAGTCCACAAAAATGGAAGCGGGGCGGAGAGAGGGAAGAACTCGTACCAAGCTTAACTGCTACATGACAGGCTACTGCTAATTGCACATACTCGTACATACGTACACGGGCAGGAAAGCCATCTAGAAAAAGGCTGACAAGATAAGGCACTCAATGCAATTGCCATACAATGGCACCTGTTTGCCAGTGCCATCCCCGACCCTGCTCCCTAAGGAAAACTGTAGTCCAGGGGTTGGTAACAGGGGTGTTGCACAGTATTATGGGTCCAGTGGGTCACTGGTCTGCGCCCATCGATACGGCCGCCCCAGCCTAGGTAACATTGCACCTGGGTAAATGAGAGCGTATACGTGGTTGCATGTTACACTCTGCAAATAGTTGTGATGATTTGCCATGAATGGGTTTCCCCTCATCAACTGTTTAAAAGTAACTTAATCGCAGTAATTGTAAGTTTGTATATTGGCTGATTCGGATTTGATATACTTTCTTTTAAAGGGCAAGTGAGCAGAGGTCATTCTGCTGTGGAATTCATGCTTGTTTAACTCTTAAAAGTCGCTGAAAAATGACATAAACAACTTCCGAGTGATATAAACTGGCCCATTAAGCCCAGAACCTCGAACTAAGAGTGCAACATGGGGATCTCGGAATGCTCAACGTGGTAGCCAGCATGGGTCGCAAAACACTGGGCTCCATGTATAGACACACTATACTCGTAAATAAGTCTATATATTTGCATAAAATCGCATTAAAATTTGCCATTTTGCCAACTTTAATGTACCATAAAACACAAACAACAGCGGCGAAGACGATGACGATGGCTATGGCGATGTCGACGCCATAGGAAACAAGTAACTTTTTGTGCCGTTGGCTTAGTGTCCAGAAAGTGTAGCAAAGGAGAAATAGCGAATAATTTAATGTGCAAAAAGCGGTATAGAGCCGGGGGCGAGGGGCGGGAATAAAAATACGAGCCAAGAAGTCGAAACTTAACCAGTCCCGCCCAGGAAACGATAGGTTGGTAGGGGCGACAGGGGGCTGGGGCAAATTAATTGCGGGAGAGTCTAACTAATGTGGGGGACTTTGCTCTAGTGCTGCAGCCTAAGCCCAAGCCACGTTGTTACCTAATGCCTCATTAGGCTCATAAATTTAGGCAAAACTCAAACGCATCTTGGGATTTGGTTTATAGGCATTAAATATGTCGCCTTACTTATTAGTTTTGACCCAAACTGGCCAAAAATAACTAAACTAGAATCTTATAAAGAAAACGAAATGAAGTGGAATTAATTAGTTTACTTTTTATAAAAATAATGGGGAAAAATTATGATCTCAAACATCGCTTAAACTCCACTAAAATTGTGCCCAACTTTCCACTTGTGGAATTTCTACTTCAACCTTATTGAAATTTTCATAAAAATTGCTATAAAAATAACACCATCTTGCGCTCGAGCCTTCTTTCGGCACTCAATAAATATATAAAATAAATAGAATTTAAATTAAGCCTAATCAACGAAATAGTTGAGTGTTTCTGAAATCCAGAGTAAATCTGCCGGCCAAGTTCAATCAATGCCCACTTGAATATCAAAACGGGACTGAATTTATGGATACCAAAACCAATTACGCAGTCAAGTGCTCTCTAGACCAATACAAATTTCCTGCACTGTAGATAGAAAGATACATTTTTATTTATGTTTACGCAGGCGAATTTTACAATTTTCAGCGCTCACTCTTTAATTGGCCGTCTGTCAGTTGTCATGGCAATAATTAATGTATTACCAATCGAACGTCCATCCCAGAACATGTGTATCTTTCTGGGACATCATAATGCCTGTATCGACGGGCTATATAGACAAATTTATATATTTGCGTATGCTCTGTGGGGATCTTGGCATTGAAAAGGCCTGATTGTAATGTAGATTCTATTTCAGTTGGACGAGAAAGAAATGGAAAATGATTTTGTTCGCACGAGGGGACAAGTGACCAAGAGAAACACATTAGGGTTGAAGAAAACTCGACAATAGCTCTATTTTCCGAACAACGAACTTGTTGCCCAATTTACATCTACGCTAGCAGTTGACCACAAAATGTTGTTTTGGAAATCGAGTCCGTTGGTGTTTTATTGGGTTCCCGGGTGCCCAGCACTCACCATATGCATCGATATAGTGCGCCAGCTCTGCTACTAATCCACAAGTATCCATGGGCACTCTGTACTCTTGAATGGAAGATTGGTATTCCAGTTGCCGAAGCAAAGTTGGGAATGGAATTGGGTAAATATGATTTCACAATTTATATATATTCATAAATCCACAGCACAAATCCCTTCTCACTCGCGCACTATCTTCGAAGTTATATTGGGGATGCGGATAATGTCTCCGGCTCCACAGACGACGACTAGACACTAGACGACACTGGACGAGTGCCTAAATGCCTCCGCGCCGCTTTGTTGATGTTCGATTCCGAGTTCTGTCTCCTGTTTGCTCTTGCTTCGAAAATCTTTCCCATTTACACTTCGGTCCCGTCCAATTGTTCATCCGCGATTTGCACTATGCAGCCATATAATATCTGTACAAATATGAATATATGCTCTCGATTTGTGTTATTTCCGTCTCCTTTACTACGTATGTATGTATTTTCTTATTTTCTGAGGTTCAGCTACAAAGCATTTGCACTATATTTCAATTTTTGCCGATAAATTGCACTTGTTGTTTTTGTGGTTTTTTTTTTTCGTTCCCCACAAAGGGTATGGTATTACTTGCGATTTTTTTTTAACAATTTCTCATAAATAGAGGTGTATAGGTGATTTAAACATGTATTTTATTTGGATGCAACATTTTTTGGTTTTTGTTTTGACGCGTTCGGTGTTTGGTGAAACCGTACTAATAAGTTGTGTTTGGTATTTTGTATTTAGACGAACGCGATCGGGCGTCGAACGTGCGAGCGGACAACCGTTAACAACAAAGTCCAAAAAAATATTAAATCAATGAACGAAACGAGCAGAAGTTAAACACGAAATTCTCCCAGTGGCAAACCACGTCCAAGTCGTCGGCGTCGCTCAGTCGCGAGCGAACTCACCACACACTTTCTCTCTCGCACTCACACCGACGCGCGCGGAGAGAGCCAAAGAGTGAGAGTCAAAAGCGGAATCAGCGCTAAAGTTGAATGTTAGGCGCAGTCAGCACTCACTCACACAAAGACACAGCACACTAAGCAATCGACTTGAATGAAAAATGCCGATGCAATCGTGAGATACTCTTTGTTCGCTCTTCACCACGTAAACGTGTCCGTGAGTCTACTATCTGTGAGTTGTGTATGCGTGCGTGTACGGGCGTGTGTGAGTGAGCAGACCACTGTGCCAGAGTGTGAGTGCCATCATCGCTTTCTTTTCTGGCTGCCTTTATTTTTGGTTTTGTACGCTTATTTATTGTATTTTTCGTTGAGTTTCGTTCGTCGCTACTTTCGGGTGCACAAGTGCAAATTCACACGTACATTAGAAATGAACGCGCACAGTGGGGCAAAAATAATCCGAATTTAACTAGAATATGTTGTTAACATTCGGTATGCAGCATGAATGATTATCGCGTGATTTCACAGCAGGTTATCAATGATTTCAGATGGGAAAAATTACGATAAGGTTTCTTAGTCAAGAAGAGTAGAAAATTCATCTCTTATACTCTGAAAGAAAGTCAATTTGCTAGATATTTAATTAACGTTTCGGGGTTTCAAGTCATTTTCAGACATTCTCAATCCTATCTTCTTATATGACTAAGAAAAGTCTTACAACTAAGTGGAATAGAAATTTCAGATCTGAAAAGTGATCTATTGTATATCTTTTATATCAGAGATGTAAACGAGAGTACAATGTAAACGTTTCACCTACCCAAAAATACTTTCTCACGTCAGCTGAATGAGTAATACAGCGAGAACGTGTAAGAAAGCATCATAGAGTCTTCCATATTGGACAAGTTCCAATTTACTGCAATCGGAAACCAGCTGAAGTGGGCTCTAATGTAGACACCGGCAATCGAACGAGAATATTGACAATGCTAAGGCGCGATTGATGGAAAGGCAAAAAGATGAAAAGGGCAATAGAACGCAGATCAAGAATCTATGAGTTCGTATACACGTAACGCTGCCGTCAGTTGGGCGGCGTATAAATTGCACATTTTGAATACATTGTGGGTAAAAAGTAAGCGCAAAGCGAACCGAGATACTCAGATACAGATACGCATACATTGCTGCAGATAATTGTGTGCCCCCTCCCCCTGCCAACCCGAACATCAGTACGTGTTTATTAATATCACTGTGTGCGTCAAGTTGACGATGGGCAAGTTCAAGTGTAGAATGCAATAGAGACTGCATTTTCCCGTGCCAGAGAGGAAACCCCTGAAAGAGAGCTAAAAGTCTCTCTCGCGCTCTCTACGCATAGCCGGCAAAATGCAAGGGCAATAGTGCAGGGTGTGGGTTTGTGGGGGTGGCGGTGGTGGTGGTGGTAATGATGAACATGTGGTGAGTTTCTCTCTGTTTGGGGTTGGCTAGACACATTGAACCACAAAAGTTCAAGATGAAAAACAAAATATCAACAATGACAGCTGAGTAGTGGGAACGACATAGTTGTAGACGGGGGAGGAGGTTGTCAAAGCGGTCTCTCTCTGTCTCTCTCTGCCTCTCTCTTCTTGTCTTTCTATTTGTTCGGATGTGGGGAGCTACCAACACAAACACAGCTGCCATCCATTATTGTGTCTATGATGCCTTTTCTTCTTTTTTTCCCCTCTCCCTCTGCTCCTTCTTAATATTCTGCATTCTCCATCATTCTACTCCACTCCGTCCCTTCTTGGCCGACTGCCAAACGACTCTCAGTTCAGTAGTACACTGGAGCAATTTCTTAGAGTATGGGTGCAACATATATCTGTGTCTAGCTATATGTATCTGTGTATCTGCTTGTGTGAGTGAGAGAGTTCGTCTAGCTGTGGGGGTGTGAGGTGGACGGTGTATAGAGGGAAGGGGGCCCGCCGAAGTCATGTGCAAGCCGTTTGTTGGGGTAGTTCGCCGGCAAATAAAAGAAATAGAAAAGAAGCGAATGCTATATAGTGGAAACTGACTTGATTGCAACGAATAGTCAACACCCTTCACATTGTCATTGTAGTTTACTCATATAAAAAATATTTAACTTATGTATATGTCGATCGTGATCTTGTTTTTTCTATAAATGAACACACTTCCATCTCACTTAAAAAGTATCTTAAAAATCGCATAGCACAGAAATTACAACTGTAAAGATTTGTTTCCATTCGATTACGCGCAATACAATCATTTAAAGTCAAGAACGTGTTCTCAAGAGATAAGATAAGGCAGGGTTCTTACATCCAATTCAAATCAGCTAGCCATAGGTCGGAACTAGTTCTAGTTGTTTCTAATTCGGTTTATCCCATGGGATATCGTGATTTACACCGATACCAACAGTTGTTGCACTGCAACACAAATATATTATGTATATAGCTGTGCACCACTCTCCAGCCATCTGGTCTATGTGTGTGTGCATGTGCATCCGTGGGCAATTGGCGAGCGAGATAGCTGGCTAGAAAAAAGAAACAACAATGGAGAAAAACTTGTCTACATGCCTGTCGCACAAGCTGCAAAATTTATGCGAAGACACACAAATCCACTGAACGAGAGACCGACAACGCTGCCATTGCTGGCTGTTTTTGTAGTTTTTGTTTTTGTTGCTGTTGTCGGTGCCTGGTGTTTTCTGTTTTCTTGCCCATAGACAGGCTGGCCCAATCCGCTCCGCCACACCCTGCACCCTCGTTTCCAACCTGAACTTTTTCAGTGCACAAAACGCCGACACAGACACAGAGCAAAAAGTTTTTGATCGATCAAGAAATCACTGGCTCAATCAGACTGTTAAATCACACAGGGAAATGGATAAAAGTCTAGAGCGTTCTTTAATTCCCAAAATCATATCCCATATAAAATATTATAAAAGTATCTAAATATGCTTTTAATTTTAGAACACCTTGTTTTTCCCAGTGCACGGACATAATATTTTTTCGCTGGCTTTTCTTTGCCAGTCTGGTTTGCCTTGTTGGTGGCTTGGTTTGCTTCGCTTCGGATCGGATCGGTTCAGTTTACCTTTTGGTATGATTTGACTTTGAATCGGGTGCCACAAAGAGCCAGGGGCGGGGGTGGGAGAAGGAAAGAGGCAAAGTCAGGTTTAATGTCGTTCAGTGGCGCGGCGGCGTTTTGGAGTTGAGGTAGTCGAAGCCACGAGACAAAGATAGGGGCAAACGGCAGTGGAAGGCTGGAGGGGCCGATATGGGCGGCTAACGAGGGGTTGGAAGGTGGAACGACGACGCCGTCAAAAGTGGGCTGAGGCCGCTTGTGGGTAAAAAGGAACACAAGGCACAAGACGCCGCGCGACTGTGGGCAAATAGTCAAACATCGGTGGTAGTTTACCGATAAGCGTCTATGAATGGCTGATGGGAGTAGTTGGTGGGTGACGGAGAGGCAGCGCCGTAGTTGTCCGGCCGGAGTGTATGTACTGCTACATATAGGTACAGGCGCTGACACAAATGGGTGGTGAGAAGGTCGTGTCCAGGCACAGTGGGCCAAAAATGATGATCGTTTATTGAAATCAATAGCATGCACGAAATATAAATATAACTTCTGTAATTCGATATAGGGTATAAAAACTGCTTAATATATATTATATATTATTTCCAAATTAATTGCCTACATGTTTTCTAGCTATGTAAGTATAAGATGCGTTTTTATATAACTCAGTCCACCAATAAAAATTCTAGCTGCGTTGGAATTAATGATATTTGTCACTTTATAAGAAAACAGAAAGACGATGTAGACTTTCCGGTTGCTGCTATATTTTTACTTGTATTTATATTTTGGAAATACAGCCACTTACACATTTATTTACAAATGTAAACTACCTATCCCTCAGAACGCTATCTTTATTGTCAATAAGAATTTCTTGTGTTAATGTGTGCGCAATATCTGAAATGCATTTCCCTTATCAGTTCAATTTTGGGTCTCAATTTTGAGGGTTTTCAATTTAGGAGGTTCCCTAAATTGATCGACTGTTCTTTTCGTTTTACTTTTGATTTTTATGAGCTTGCATTAGGTCCACTTTAATAATTTGCGTTGCTATCTGCCTCTCTTTCTGCATATTGACATTTCAATTGGTTTTTATCAGCACAATTTGTTTTTACAATCAATGGTCTCATGGATAAAAAAAACAAGCTTATAAATAATATATTTACCTAATATATAGAGCCGAGCTTTAACTCACCTAAAAAGAAACGAAAAAAGTAAGAAAATCGTTAATTATTTCTTGATAAGAAGTGTTATAATTTCACTTAAGTAGTAGCCCCCTTTGATCTGACTTAATGAAGGTCTCTTCTGACGGATTTCATTAAGGAACTCTGTTCATTAACAATAAATTAGCAACAATGCTCAACTTAACATATATTTAACAATCATTCTATCTTGGTTTCGCTTTACTTTTATAGTTTTATTTTTCCTCATTTTTGTTAGGTGCGGAAAAGCCTTGACTGAGCTAAGCGTTTCACGCCTGCCAAGCGTGCGATTTCCCTGGCCTAGCCGTAGTCTGACTAATTTGCATTTCGAAATGCAGGATGGGAATGGGGAGTCGAAGTCACTTGGAGGGCTATTGGAAATTGGATTGAGGTATTATCCAGGCTCCAGTCAATGCCAGTATTGGCTCTGGGAATCTCTCAGCCGGAGCACATACATCTTTACTCGCACGCGCAGCCTGTGTCAAGCGTCGCCACATAAACATGAATGCAAATTTAATTTGAAAATTGCTAACCGACACTTGACGGGCTGTCTACGAAAATAAAAAGTTAAATTAAAAGTTAATCCCTGCTTGATGGTAGGGGGTGTTTGAGGCAAGAATATTCCATAAATCATTTGATTTAAATATTTATCGCAAGATTGTCGTCACATTATTTATCCGTGGTTTTTCGCCGCCAGAATGTCAAAAAATCCAACTTAAATTTGACAAGAGAGCCAACGTTTTACAAAAATATATAATTAACTCTTTTTTTTTCCAATAAGGAACACAAACTAAGGGGGAAAAAATAATATTTTTTCCATAACTCTTGAGATATTATTATTAGTCTCAATATGTGGGAGAGCAAAAAAAAAGTAAAATATTAAAACTACTGTTTATGGGCTATGAGCGTAGCCTGAAAACAAAGTCCGATGTTCGGAGAACCTTAAACATAAAGCAATTAAATGAAAATTCCTCATCATATGCAATAATTTCATAATTTTCTGATTCATATTGAATTTTGTGTCTATAGGTGGCATTCAACCACATCTAAACTCGATAAACCGTAGTTTAGCCTTTGATTATTCTAATATTTTCCAATTTATGATGACGAGCCTGAAATTATTTCATTCAAAGTGACAATCTGAGGCGTCGCCGGCTCTCGAGTGCCCCCAAATGCGTTCCTAATGTTTATGTGAATGCGTGGCATCCTCCAGGGTGCCGCCGATTTGATCGTAATGCCCACTGACAGCCAGCCCCCAGATTGCATACTAAGCAGAAGACCATTGCTTGCGATATATGTGCCCTTGTCCCGCCAGTTATCGATAACAGTTTCCTGCACAGTTAAATCGAAACGCAATACGGCCAAAACAACAACTCATCAGCATTCAGGGGGCGGGCGGCTGAAGCACTTGTTGCCAGTGCACATGCCAACTTATTTTGGTAGCTCTCCTCGTGGCTTAGTTGTAAGTGTTGGGGGTGCTGCAGGGTGGAGCGAGTGCAACACGTGCTTCTGTTTTTGCCGGGTGGTTGGGCCACTGATGCTCCAGTAAACCCCTCACAGCGTTGGCCGATGAAAAGCTTCTGGTTACAGAAATAGCCACGCACCTGCCACAACACAGACTGCGTTGTAGTAAATTTTTCTGCCTGTACACCCCAAAAACCCCTGCTGCAGGAGACCCTACTGGCCACCCATACAAATTAAGGCAAATTTGTTTAAATTATTTTTAAATTGCACATATTTAATCAAGTGTGAAGTCTGCCGCGTCGCTGTCGCAGCACTTTGTATGCATGTCAAACAATTAATTAGTGCAGAATTCTCCCACTGTTTGGCTTTTCGTTAATTTTGTATTCCTAAACCAAAGTGTATTTGCCTTGAACTTGAATTCGTCGGTCATGGATTAGTTTTATGCTTAGATATTGCATACTGGTTTCCAAACATATATACTCGTATTTGCGTCTTCAAAGCAATGAGCAATGAACGCGATTTTTTTCAAATTCCAGCGATTTGTCACCAGCAACTAATTTAGGCAGCCATATGTCGCATTTGCACTCTTAAAATGCACACACACACATTCACATTCATTTATGTGAATAATCTTTCGCCCGCCGAAAGTTCATTGTACGAGTCGCGGCGCAGTTGCTGCGGTTCTTACTCATTTCGGCTCTTCGCTTAGCGCCGAGTTTTGCCTAATTAAGTCAACAAAGTGGAAGCCACCAGCAGACACACACGCACCTACACCACAACGACCCGAAAGTGTGTAAACGAAATATCCTTGCCGACTTTGCAAACATATTTTCTAGCCTGTGATATATCGCAGCTTTTTGACTTAATGTTACATGTTAACAAAAGAAAGAGCATTGAGTTTTTAAAGCTCTCGCGCATATTATCTTTTAAAAATATACCCTTATAAGCTATAATAAAATGCCGTGCAAGGATTGTCTAGGATTAAGTTATGCCTATAGCCGATGTACCTTTCATGAAAAAGTATCAAAATTGACCGGAAACCACCGAAAATAGAAAATCAAAGCAAATTTAATTATCAAGTACACATCACAACAGAATCTAATTTCATAGGCAGGGCTTAATATATGTAATCATTAAGGGCTTGGAATGCATCGCGATAACGTGATTAAAATATCGCATTTATTAAAAAAAGCCATTCTAATAGGAGGAGCTCTCTTCCTATTTTTATACCCGTTACTCGTGGAGTAAAAGGGTATACTAGATTCGTTGAAAAGTATGTAACAGGTAGAAGGAAGCGTTTGCGACCCTATAAAGTATATATATTCTTGATCAGGATCAATAGCGAAGTCGATGGAGCCATGTCCGTCTGTCCGTCCGTCTGTCCGTCTGTCCGTATGAACGCTGAGATATTAGGAACTATACGAGTTACAAAGTTAAGATTAATCATGATGATTCTTGAGGTCCCTACGCAGCGCAAGTTTCTTACAGCATACTTCCACGCCCACTCTAACGCACACAAATCGCGAAAAACTAAAATCGCTGAAATCTCAGGAACTATTAGAGCTAGAAAGTTAAATTCAGAATGTATAATCTTTAGATGCCAGCGCATCTTATAGTGGTACTACTATCCGGCCATACACACCCTAACGCCCACCAAGCTCAAACGACTGATATCTCGGTAACTATAAGAGATAGAACGTTCGGATTAAGCATGTAGGATTTTATGATACTCCCAATGCGAATTGAATTTAGGTTATAAGGCCTCACATGGTTTGTGACGTCACTATCAATTACTCAACATGCTTCCTCTGACAATAGGTGGCGCCTTGTGAATTTCCAATAGCAAAATTAATATTTTAAAATTGTGTGAAATCCGAACAAATAGTTTAAATGAAAATTCAAATTTCATAAACGAGAAACTTCTCACCAACGAGGCCACATGTTTTTCCTAGTGACCAACCTTCACGAATATACATTTATTGGATCAAGCAGGCGTCGAGAGAATATTTTACGGGTGAGCTTCAACCTTTTAAAATTCATATGTGATTTCCCCAAGATTATCACAACCAAACTTAACTTAAACACGAGAACTTGAAGCATGAAGAACCTTACGTTGGCAGGAGTGATGTGGGGCAGCTCCTCGAGACCGGGACAGCGAGGATCCGAGGAAGGCAAAGACGTTAACCTCAGTGGCAGAAAGTCCTTTGACTTGTACGTGAACTTCCTGTGGATTTTCGCCTTTATATACGTCCTGTGCAAGGTGGTCCAGCTCTTGGAGCGGTACCTCGGCCAGCGACTGCTCGGCCAGAAGCAATGGTGCGACGTCCGCTCCATCAAAAACGAGTGGGAGCTGACTCTGCAGCTTTACGAGGAGGGCAAGCACCAGCTGGACGCACAGGTGCGGGATCTGCGCGAAAAGAACCTTAATATGGAGCGAAAGATGATCGAGCTGCGCGACTGCAACATACACCTAATTAGCGAGAACTTCATGCGATCTGTGATGCAGGAACAGGTTAAGGCAGCTAACTTATGAATCATTTGGCCCTACTAATGGTCCCGTGATATAATCCCTGAACTCTCTCTTGCTAGACAGAGCTTTATCTTGTTAAATCAAAGCTTATACAGAATTTAATAAGTCCCTAAAAAGATCTAATTGATTTTGAGAAAAATCCAATTTATATATAATGTTTTGTTTTTCACGCAGAAACCGAAGCCGACAAAGTCGAACATCTACATCACCAACAGCCACTACCACCTCACGCGGCAGGTGTTCTTAAACGAAAGACACATCGATCTGAATGTGCATAACGCCGTCGGAAAGAATCTAGAGTCCATGGAAGCCTCCGGGGAGGTTATGAATGTCTGGCTGCAGTATCTGAAGATGCGCAAGTGTTACATGGGCCCGATTGCCGATCCAAATTTAATAGCTCCTAGGAGCCCCGACCAGGTGCTGCCCATTGTTATGACCACCGAGCAGTTAGCCGAGTTGCAGGGTGAGTTGATTACCATATTGGGAAGTACAAATAATAGTAATGTCTTCTTTCAGGCATGATCTAGTTGGTTTTGTTTTAAGTGCATTGAAAATATACAAGTGGCTGATATATTAATTATAAGTCAGTTCCCTAAAAGATCATAATGGGTAACAGGATAATGTGAAGCTTTTCCTTTCTCCTATTTTTTAGCCGGTCAGGAATATTATAGGAAACTTATTACTTATGTTCCATTTATAAAAAACCGAACAAAAGCATTCGATTTCTAGTAGGTTTGGGGCAGGGCTCAACCGCTGATAAATAAACTTTCTTTTGAAAAACTTTTGACTTATTTTAAACGGAAATGTCAACTAGCCCATCGGCTGATTTATTTCATTTGTATTTCAAATTCAATTTCCGCTAAGTGCTTCGAACCACGCCAAAACGCTTTTATTTGCCTAACCGCTAACCATCTCCTCCCCCACCGGGTGGTCGGCTGATCTTCGCGTCAACATCTGGCGGAAACGAAGCAAAATAAATGCAAAATATGCCAGTCTGACCGTCTGCTGGTCTGCCAGTCTGTCGTCTGTTTGTTCGAACTGGGACTGCGAAGACGATGACTTATCAAGGCAGAAGAATTAAGCGATTGCTTTCTTCTCTCGCACTTTCCCGCTCTGCCGGCACTCTCCATTTTATTTTCTTTGCCATGGGGTCAGTGGCAGTTATCGTTGCAATTTTGTAATCAGTTGAGGACTCAAGGTTAAATGCTCGCTGGCACAGTGGAACAAAGTCTGTAGGTGCAGGTAGTCGTATGGGCGTCTTTCCACTCCCATTTTCCGTCGAATTCGAATTCGGTTTTGGTTTGCTTATATCATGAGTGGCTATATTTGATTAACATTTGTTCGAGTGTATCGGGATTGTTGTTTTCTGCGGCTACTTTGTGGGTCATTTGCCTGTCTGGCTCATGAGCGTATGCATGTGTACGCTTGGAACTGGAATGGGGTTTGATTCGTTTTTATTCACGATTGTCACTTTGTTGATTTAGATTTATTGCCATTTAAATGCAATTTCATTGTACTTTCTGGATCAGTATTGTGCGTTGGATTGGGTCTTCTCCCCCGCTCCGTCATCCTGCCTCTCTGTCACTCTGTTTTTACTGTTTGTCTTACCAACGGTGACGCTGATGAAGCCTAAATCGATTAGCGGTGAATGCTGAATATCGAATTGAACTGATGGAGTCACTGAACTATTTGTGAAATTTCTAATTGCATAGAGCGCCATGAAGACATTAAATAAAAGTAGTTTTGGTTCTGAGTATCTTTAAAGAGTGGGAAAGCAAGAAAACTCCTCACCGCCTTTGTCCAACTTTTTTGTTTCTCATTATTAACCCACTTTGTGGGTCAGGGTCTCGGTCTCGTAACACAACCAACGTCATTAGAGCATCCGCATCCTGTAATTCTGGTCGACTTTACCTAAACAATTTTATTGTTATGCACTTGCCACCAAGTCGAGACTAGCCTCGCCCTTGCCAGCCAGATTGCATCTTGGATGACGCATTCCGATCCGATGGATACTTGTGTGGCCAGTGTTTTATGCCACACCATCTACGCAAATGGGAGTCGTAAGACGGGGAGTGGCTTATTATAGTTATAGTATTTATAGATCAGCCACTGTGCATGGCACTTTACACTTGACCAGCATCGCCTGCCATTTGCATAGCTAATTTCTTTACCACTCAAGCGAAGAATTAGAATCCGCCGACAACTAGGGCGTGGAACAGATAGCTAGAGAGGGGAGAGGGAGAGAGAGCAGCAAGTAATCTAATCGTTAATTGGCACACTAACCCCAAACAGAAATTGCGCTGCCATTGGCCCCATTCCACTCTCACTGATAAAAATAGTTTACGTTTTATCAAGGTTATTTGCCAAAAAAAAGCAAATAAAAAAAGCCAAACAAAAGCAAACCGATTGCGAGGGTGTGTGAACAGATAGACCGCGCCGAATACAATTGGGAACGACCTTGAGATAATGCCCCCATTTGTGCATTTGGCATTTGTTTATTTACCTTCGAATATTAGGTTCAATTGGAAGTATTTTCCGCATGCTGAGCTAAAAACGTTTTACAATTAGGTTTCTATAAGTGAAATTGCTTCATGAACACTCGAGATTCATCTCTAATTTAAAACATGAGAGGTTTTGAGATATATTTATTCGAATAATTTCCTAAGAAACTGCAAGTCATTTTCATCGTATATAAATAAAACACTAACTAATAATACAAGAAAATAACCGAAAAAATGTAAATAAATATAAAAAATATAACAAAAGCATATCCCTGGTTTAGAATAACATTTACTTTTTTATCCATTTTTAAGGTCTGAAAAATAAAATAAAACAAGAAGGAACGTATAGTCGAGTGCTGCGACTATAAGATACCCGTTACTGTGTTACACAATTTGTCCACACACCCACTCTTACTCCCACCAAGCTCGAAAGACGATTTTCGCGTTTTGAAGAAAAGTTGATATCTCGGTAACTATAAGTGATAAAAAGTTAGAAGGCCCCACATGGGCAGTGACGTCACTATCGATTGCTTGCTTTCAACTTGCTTTCTCTGACAATAGGTGGCGCTTCAGTAGCGGGTATCTTATAGTCGCAGCACTCGACTATAACCTTTCTTCTTGTTTTAGAGTTGGATTTTAGATTTGATACGGATGGCTATATCATGACTAATGATGATTAAAATTTATATCCATATAGTAAAATATGATTTGCTCTTTGTTAGGTTCGTAAGACTCACGTATGCCTGTTTTTCTAAAAAGTGTTAATTTTAATTACAAAAACAAAAATCAAATACGTTATAAATACTGGGTCACTGTGCTTTGTGTTAAGGAAGATCATTGACACCAAGACGACTGTTCCTAAAGGCACCTCGAGATTAGATCAGATTAGCCGAATGGTCATACAAAAATTTCAAGAACTGTGCCAGCGATCCTCAAATAGGGACCCTAACGAAACTTCATGTTTACCCAAAAATTAGGGTCAGGGCTAGAGTTGTCCCACTATCGAGTGTCGTCTACGTTTTGTTCTCTGGTTGCGAACGTGTATCTGTGTCATGCGAAGCGAAAAGATACACACTCACACAGTCGCAGACGGGCAGTCTAGAGAAGGGGGCGTCGCGGAAGGGGGCCAGTAATTGTTCTTGACTCCCATTCTAATTTCATTTAAGTGCGCCGTACGTTCAGACGTGCTGCCATCTCGCTCTTGCACGCCCTCTCATCACCACCCCTAAAGGCCAGACGAAAATTTCTATATACAAATTGCAGCCGACGTCAGCCATCTTGTTTTTACTTTTATTTCTTCTGTTTTTTGGCAAAATTTCATGTTGCCTTTGTATTGTCGTATTTTTGTTGTTGCTGCTTTTGCGGATGAGACCGCCCTGCCCCTGCCACTACTTGAGCGTTGGATACAGCGGCGACACGCCCCACTCACACACGCCTTTATCATAATCATCGTCATTGTGTTTTGTATTGTGAAGCCCAAAAACGTGTTGCCACCGCTTTTTATTTTCGCTTTTTGTCGATATATTTTACGAACTTTTTAGTCGTTATTGTTGGATAAATATTTGCTACTCTCTTGCTTGTCTATGCCAGTACGTTTTTGTTTCTTGTTATTCTGAGCTTGGTGTGCTTTTGCAAGTAAGAATAATCACAAGTATTTTAAGCTTAATGGAACAACAAGTAAACTCAAATTTAATAAGTATATCTTAAAGCGTTATTATAATCAAAGGCCATCCAATAGTACATTCAAAGCGGAAAAACTTGAAAATATTTTTAGGCCTGGTTCCACCTGTCAACGAATAGTTGCAAAGGTAAAGAATTTTCTAAGCAACGAACCTTTAAAACGACACCAAAACCGCTATTTACAAACCGGTCCTGTGGCGCAATGGATAACGCGTCTGACTACGGATCAGAAGATTCCAGGTTCGACTCCTGGCAGGATCGATGTATTTGTTTTTTTTTTTTAGTTTTATTAGTTTTTAAAAGGTGAGGTGTATATTTCATTAAATTTAATTCAACAAATGTAAAAAGAACCAAGAAAAAAATCTACCTTCGCCCAACGTGGGGCTCGAACCCACGACCCTGAGATTAAGAGTCTCATGCTCTACCGACTGAGCTAGCCGGGCACTTGGCAAGAGTGACGAAAATAAGACCCAGAAGCTTTTTCTTTTGGGCCAAGCAGGCTGCTAAATACGTACAGCATAGCAACTACCTTACGGCAAAATGTAGCTCAAATTGCGTATGCGCAATATAGTTCTTCGGATAGAGTGATTCCGGTCAAACTAATTATCGAATATCGCGAGCTAGCAAATTGAATCAACGACTTTGATGAGTTGGCCATGGCAAAGATAATTAGAATGAATGTGATCAAGGTACGTATGATTGCATGGCCCGCATCTATAACACTATAATTGGCGGACTCGCAATGAGGGAAATTCCATTTCTTTCAGAGTCATAGCTTGCGCTCTCCGATTCTCTCTTCTAGTTGCTCTGCTCACAACTATTCATAGATTTCTATTTCATTTCACCCTGACCCACCGCAATAGTTTTTGTATTGCTTCGTCTACCCCTTTTCTCGGTCGACAGCTGCAACAACAACAACAATGTCAACTATTTATGGCGAAATTGTTGTTGTCGCTAGCTTTCTATCAAGAGTTTTTGCCATCGTTGCTCTTGATTTAGTTTATTATTGTTTGTTGCTTTATTTTGTTTATTCCGTATTTTGGCCTCTGGTTTGTTTTTTTCTGTGTGCGGTTCATTAAGTTCTCAAGCGATAACAGCCCGAAACCATCGTCACACGCACAATTTTCTACGCACAGAACGTAAAGGCAGCAACAGCAAAAAATTTTAGCAAGTGCCAAATTTGTTTTTGTGGCTAATGAATCATATTACGCATACGCCACATTGTCTACGGTTGACGAATGTTGAGATTTTTGTTATTATACAAAATATCTAAAGAAAAAGGCATTTATGTGCACATTTCAATCCTTTAAAGTTGTCATTTGAAAGAAGTTTCTTGGCAATATTTAATACATAAATTCTAAATTCGATATAAAATAAAGACATTTGTATATATTTGGTTTATTTGCTTTCTCTTTTCACCTTACGACTTACTCTCGT